CACATGCACAGTTGTGGACAGTTATTTTTAAGAAAATTTTACACAGTTGTAAACCTTTGAAGTTCAGCTTGTTTGTGTAATTAGTTGTTTTGTCAAATTTTCATCAATTTTTTTTTAGGCTAAACTAAGGTATGATCCTGTTGAACTGGACCCCGAGGAGATGTGTCGAATGGCCACAGAACAACCACAGGTTTGAATTCATTTGTTTTACTATTAAATTGAAACTAACTCTGCTGGGTTGGTAATTTTTTGGTAATAATAGAGACATCAATACTATTAAGGTCGTCAGCTGTAAAGATTAACAGCTTACCGGGTGTTTTATGTATGAAGTTTGGATTTAATGTACAGAGAAGCTCTTCTGAGTTTTGGTGGTATTTTGCTGGTTCTTAATGTCTGTTGTCAATGAAGCACATACTGCATGCATGTGGTAGATAGAGATGCCAGGAACCAGCAAATTTCAATCTATACGCACAGAAACTTGTGACCAGTAAGATCATGTTTTCAGCTGTTTCTTGCTTGTGATGGGAGGAAGGGATAAACAGCTTGTGGATTTAACAACACCTGTAAGTGGTTAATATGGAAGGCATGTAAAGTAATGTTTGTAATGTTGGGAACAGAGACTACTGTAGGAATATGTCTTTAATATGTCCATCTACTCGTATTTTGTGATACGTATACATTATTTTTGCACACGTGCATAGTCTAGCATGTACAGATTGAGTAAAAAAGTTGCCAGTGCTTGATAATTTTAAATTCAGGTTCAACTCTCTGTATAGTTCTGATATTGTGTGAAACTAGCTGACCACTTAAATGAAGTCAAAATTATACTAAAAGCTTAAACCCAAAGTTGAAAATTTTTACCACTTTTAAGTCTAGAGTTCGACAATATCCATTATGTGAATAAACTCAGGTGAGTAATGAGAAATGTTATAAAATTTTATTAGTGTCTGTTTTATGAATTAATTAATTTATTAATTAAGCCAAAGCTATAAGTAGAAATTAACTATAATTTCAAACAAAAAGGAATCAAACATGAAGTGGTATTCATTTACTATGGACTATCTGTGCCGCACCAATTGTGGGTATCGTAACCTGAGTTTTTAGTGTTATAAGTTTTAAAACTTATTGCTCAGCCACCAGGGGATTCCCAAATAAAAAGCTTATGTTATTATAGAAACATAGAAGGGATAACCTTGAGAATTTCATAGTTTTTAATGATGTATAACATACAATTTCTTAACAACAATTTTAATTTCAAGTTTAGCTTGAAGACCTTTTTTCTCCACACAAGTGATGATGAATGTTTTGAGAGAAAAGTATAACGGCTAAGAAAGGTACTTGTACATAACATTTTCTTGTTTTATAGGAACAAACACACACCAGTCTAAACCGACAGGGCAGATCGGACCTAAACACCCCAGGTTCTAAGGCTTCCACATGCCCACCTACATACGTCTCTTGATCTAAAACATGGCCATCGTCAGTCATTTTGTTCAAGATTGTTTCTTGTTTGTTCGGGAAAATGATATTTACATGGAAGGCTTGAACCATCAAAAGAGCCTCACACAAGGTCCCCGAGCCTTTACGTAACACCTGTGTGGGGGGACAGAAAAAAGTAGTTTTTAACACAACATATTTATCAATTTAGTTTCAAACAAGGTTCTAAAGCTTATAGATAGCAGAAAAGGAAAACTTTTAACAGAATGTGTTGACTGAGGTGGTTTAAAAAGAGGTTCTTAAGCTTTTAAATAGGAGTAAAAGAAGATAGATAAAACCTTTAAGCTTGTTCATCAGACATTAGTATGTTGCATAACTCTTGAATTTCTTTTAAAAGCATTCTTCTCAGTGGCTATACTATATCTTTGTTACATTATATGGTCTCTTTGAACAACATGTACATATGTAAATTAGTATGTACAGCAATTCAGTGACAACTTTCTGTTCTAGTAATAAATATACTATATATTTATATATATGAAGGTCTCTTACCTCATCGGGTTCCATGGGTAAGATTGTACACAAAGCGAATATAAAAGGATGAACATACTTCATGTATAGGTAGTAGGTGGCGACAGCATCAGATACCGAGTAGTTGGCTAACACCTAGTGTTAAAGAAAACAGTCAAAACTCTCACTTTTGAGCTTTTAATTTTCTGAACAGATAGCTTAATTCATTATTTATAAAAAATATCATCCATGTTTTAGTACAATCAAAAACTGTAATATTGGGTTTGAAGTTTTCCAAGAAACTGTTTACTTAGTTTGTTTGTTGTCAAATTAATTTATATATAATATGGTTAAA